GTTCACTCGCTAAGTTCTGGGGTCTCAGGAATGTGGCAGCCCCCAATGTCTGAACTGAACAGGGAGACACTACGAAATCCCTAACCTCGCAGGCCATCATTCAGTGGCACACGGACTATAATTAAGTACCCTGTGGGCTCTGCCCTCTCGCTGAGCCAGATAAGCAGGGAGAAGTGCACCCAGGCGGGCTAACAGGTCTTTAATAAACACAGGGTTCTGAGTCAGAGGGGAACTTGCCACCTCACGTTTGGCAGACACGGAAGCCGAATCAGAGCAGGGTGCCCTCCTGGTCCTGGTTCGTTAAGAAGAATACGCAGGATTCTGCTTGGCTACAGAGCGCCTCCAAGACTGTGAACGGCGGGTCCTGGGAAGGCGGTCGGGCAAACCCAGTTTTACCGACAGGCCTGGGAAGTGGTGGGATTCAAGGAGGTCCCGGGGTCCCCTGGGGGAGAGTGGTCTCACACTTGTTCTGCGGCTCCACGGTTCAGCCTAGAACAGCGGGCTGGTGACCGAAGCCGGGTGGGAAGAGCAGCCGGGCCTGGCCACCAATGGAGCAGGACGGGAGCATCTCCGTCCAGGGTCCCACAGAAACATGGCCAGTTCAAGGGTCTTCCGACAGACGGAGTCAGGAGAGTTGCTTCCGGCAAAGTCGGACTTAACCCAGCTCCCATCACACACAGATATTGCCAGCAGCCAAAGCCACTCCCAGGGCTGCTGAGTCTCCAGGAAGTCAGCCACCGCTGCTGAGCTCAAGGGCTTGGGGCAGGGACCCAATTCAGCCTGTCACTGTTGTTCTCAGCACACAGGTCCCATGCTTTTATTCCGCGCAGGTGAAGGAGGTGCAAGTTCCAGACTTTTGCATCTAAGACCATCCCATGTTTGTTACTTAAGAGGCCAAACCCTTTGCTGGGGAATCAAAAGCCTGATTCCACACAATAAGGTTTTAAAAAAGGTCAGGACAGGTAGTAACTGGGGACATTCCAAACACCAGCCACGTCCCCCAGATATTACTTACTCTAACAGGCTGAGGAACTGGGTGCCCCCACCCACCACAGGCCTCTCAGAGGAAGTCTGATCTTTCCTCCCAGGAGCAAACCCAGAGCCTAGAAAGCACCCAGTGAACTTCAAAGCCATGGGAAACGGCAGTTGTGAATTTTCCTCCTAGCTCTGATGGAACCAATCTTTTAGTTCAAACTCTTTCCCTCCGTTCAGGCAGGCAGGCAGGCAGAAAGAAAGAGAGAGAGAGAAAGAAAGAAAGTTAAGTCCAGCCAGCATTCCAGGCAGCTGCCAGATCTATCCCTAGTTACACTCTCAAATCTGGCCTGGCCACAAGAATTATCAGAAACCAGAGAACAGCTCAGGCCTGGAAATTAACATCGAATCACAGCGAGAAGTGAACTTCCTAGTTTGGATCTCACTAGCTGGGTCCCCTGACCTTCCTTATTCCCCCAGAAATACTCAGATTAAAGCATCTCCCCCAGTTCTAGATGTGCACGAGTACCAGGTGGGCAGCAGGACTGGGGCCCCAGACAGACGCCTCTTCTTTCCAGCGCTTTCCTCTACAGACTCTTTAGCAAGCTTCGGCAGCAGCCAGTTCTGAACAAGTAAAAGCTCACAGACTTCTCATGCGAGCCCGAACCGACCTTATACGAGACCTGAACGTTTGCACCAGAGGTGAGCTGGGGTGGGATTTGCCAGGATACTGCCAGATACTAACAACTGGTTTGTGACCAGTATCATCAGTGAGATCAGAAACTTTCAATGAACGTCACAGCCTCAGCTTCTGGAAACCAAGCCTCTCCATGCCCCACTCTCTCCCACAACCACCCGACTTCTTTTTCTCAATTTAGAAACAGCACTGCTACAAGCCTCTGAAATCAAGAACCTGTTTCAAAGCGTTGTTTCTCAACCTCGGTGCCACGGACATGTGGGGCCGGACAATTCTTTGCTATGGGGAAGGCTGTCCTGTGAACCATAGGATGTTTGGCAATCATCCCTAGCCTCTACCCACTCAACGCCAGTAGCGCCCTCTCCCCAAGTAGTGACAACCAAAAACCGTCTCACACATTGCCAAACGTCCCTGAAAGGGCGCACAGGGCGGGGGAAGAAGGGAAGGGTTAGTCGCCCCAGTGTACGCTTATGTCTTCTTAAAAATACCAGAGGCCAAAAGATACCCTGGGGTTCTAACCACCTGCGACCTGGTGCTGAGCTGTATGTTCACGTCCATCTGTGCATACGTGGTTATCTGTGTTCTGAAAACGAAGAAAAGCAGGCAGCTGTCATAAGAATGGCCCAGGAGAGAGTTGTTGGTGTTGTACTGGTTTTCTGTTTTTTGTTTTTGTTTTGCTGTAATTATTCTCACTTCTCACAAATCTTAGGGCAGGGTTTCTCTTCCTCAGCACTACGGCCATCTGGGCCCAGATAATTCTTGGTTGTGGGGGCTGCCCAGCGCACTACAGGGCACTGGGTGGCATCCCTAGCCTCCAGCCACTAGACACTAATAGGAACTAGGTTTGCGACAACCAAAAACGTCTCCAGATATTGCCAATGTCTCCTAGAGAGTAGAACTGGCCCTAGTTGAGAACCAGCGTCCTACAGGAAGATATAAACGGCCCCACATCATTTTGTGTAAAAAAGGGGAGTGCATTTACTCTTATGCCAGGTAAATGAGACCAGAGGCTGAAAGCAAACTGCCGGTTCATACAGGGAGGATTCAACAGACATTAACCACGGCCTCGTCCTCCTCAACAGCCAACCCTACTCTGAGGACAAGAGGATGAAGAGAGGTGCAGTGAGCACAAGAAGGAGACACACAAGGAGATGGACACGTTCGGATAAACCACAGAGATGCTGGGGGCCTGGGGGAACTATTCCGGAAGAGAGCGGAGTGCGGCCAGCATGATTCCTGAGAGCACAGCTCAGCAGAGAGTCCATCAGGAGGCCAAGACAGCCGCTCCCAGAGTAGGACGTGGCCACTGCGGCCCTTGTTTGGGGATGGGCCTCAGAATGGCGAGATCACAAATCGATGTGAACCAGCAGCGTACGCTGCACGGTGCTTTCCAGGTTCCAAGGTATTTCTCACAGACCTGGATGTAGGGCACCCTGTTTTCCCCGAGACATAAAGCTCTGGTGGCCGGCCAGAGCGGCCTAGCTAGTGCCTCTAGCAGAGTGTGCCTGCTTGGGACAGCACGGGCCTCCAGCATGGGCCTTGAGAGCTGTGGGTTGTGAGGAGAGGGCTTCTCCTGCAGGAGGGACTACATCAAGGTCATCAAGGTCCAAGACAGTAAGTACCACCCCCAGATTCTCTGGTCAAGCCCTGGGGATCTGGTGTCCATTGAGATAGGTCTAACCCAGGGCCAGGTCCCTTTAATTCTATCCTGCTGGGGCAGAGGGCTGTCCTCTCAGCAATAATCCTGGAACCCCTCTGGATTAAGTTTCTCTTCCTCCAGGGGTTGGCCATTGTCTGGGCTTTGCCCTAGATAAAACACAAGGGTGGGGTCAGGACTTTTTCCATCAAGGGCAAAAGGTACCAGCTGCGTTCCTGTGGACTCATTTCTCTTCCCTCCCCCTGAACTTCTCCAAATTGTGGGAAAAGCCCAGTCCCCCGGCAGGGCCCACACCACCCATGGGATGGCCGCCCATTCCTCCGTGGAGTCTATCCACATGCACTCCACACCTAAGCTTCTGAATCTGAGATTAAGATGCGGGAACCAGTAGGAGTCAAGGAACCAGGACTTGACGTGGATCTGAAACTCTAAGCTGAACTGCCCCCATCGCCCAGTTTTCTGGAGAGCGGACGCACATCTCGCACCAGACTCACGAGCAATGGGACATGGACGTTCCAAAAAACCTATCCTACCCCGTCACAACTAAAACCCTGTTGTCTTGGATTCAGCATTCCCCTTCTGGGCATTTACCCTGTAGGTCCGATCCCACCTGTGAGCAGAGATGGTCAGTGGCTCATCACTGTGGTGTCATTTGTAGCAAAAACCGGTTGGAAACAATCTACACATCCACCCCCAGGAAGCCAGTTGAAATTCAGCCAGTCCCAGAGAGATGACAGGAGAACCACCAACCCACTACAAAGATCAAAGAAACTCTGGGGCTATGCTCTGGAGCAGCAGCTCTGGGGTAAGGGGAGAAGGGGAGTTCCCCCAAGGACACTTGGTAGCACAGGGAGATATAGGTGATGTCCGGATGGTGGGGGGTGCTCCTGGGATGGAGGAGGTGGGGCCAGGGATGCCGCTCACCACCCCACAGTGCCAGGAGCCCCCCCCCAACAGAGAGCGATCTCAGATGGAGAGAATTCCAGCTCTAGCGTTACCTCCAAAACCATTTAAGGAAAACCCGAAGCACAAAGGGCTGTGTAGCCTATGCTACCACCGCGTGTGTGTGTTTTGTAAAGGAAAAGGTGTACCCTATCTTTGGAAAGGGATGTGAATCGTGGCTGACAGTCCTTGACGCTGGGGAGAGGGGCGGGAGGCCCGAGGCACTGGAGGCGGAAACGGACTTTTCACTCTACCATGTCCCAACTCTGTACCGGGTCCATCAAAAGGGGTTTTCGTTTGTTTGTTTTAAAGAACTACTCCAGACGCCAAATCTCCCTGCCCCTGGGCTCTCTGGCAAGAGTCCTGTGTCGACAGCCTCAGGAGCATTTCTTCCCCTGCTCTTTCCCCACTCCCCGCCCTTTTACAGGGGAGGGAGGGAGAAGGGGGCCCTGCCCCGGGTCAACCTCCGGGCGCACTCTGCGGCTCCCAGGGGTCTGCCCACCCTTCTAGGGGATACCGGAGCCCACATGGCGGGCAGGGCCTGGGCTACTTCGTGGGCACCCCCGTCCCTCCTGCGCTCTCCCCACCCAGCGGGGGACACGCGCCAACGCCGTCCCCTCGGTGCCCGCGGCCCCCTCCCGAGCCAGGGTCGGGCCTGGCCGGCTCCCCGACTCCGGGCAGCCTGGGGCCTGGGGCCCGGGGCTCGTTCCCCCCGCTTCGGCCTCCGCTCACCTGGCTCGCCTTGTAGAATTGCTTCTTCAGCCCCGCTACCGACATACTGCCTCCCGCCGTGGGGGCTCCCGCCCGGACCCAGCGAACCGGAGGGACCGAGCAAGCGACAGGCTCCCGGGCGCCGCCGATACCCCGCGCGCCTCAGCGGGCCCCGTCGGCGCCGCCTCCACCGCCCTCTCGCCAGCTCCGCGCCCGTCCCGGCGCCGCCTCAGCCCCTCGCGCGCCCGCGCGGCCAGGATATTACATGGCAACCGCACACTTCCGGTGCCGGCCTGCGCGCGCCCCCACGGCCCCGACTGCGCACGCGCGCCCCCTGCCGGCCAGGGAACGCATACGCATGTCGTCGTCCCTGCGGCGGCGGCCTCCGCCAGCGAGCCGACAGGAGCGAGCCTAGAGAGACCACGGAGATTACAGCGACCCCTGGAGGCCCCGGAGGTAGTCCTAACGTTTTAGGAAAGGCGCTTAAATCCTGGAGAGGTTGGGAGGCCGAGTTTACAAGTCTCAATATACCTGTTTGTTAATCTCAGCTAACCCAATTCTCTGGGCGTTTAGTCCCTCCCGCACACACTGCCTTCAACCCTGCCACGGGCTCATCCATACAGCTGCCCAACTCAGACATCAGGGTGTCACTTCTACTTCCTTTCCATCCCCTTATCCTCCCTGCCTTGTCTAGACAATCCCATTGGCCTCCTCTCTGTATGCCTGTTCGGAGGTTCCCCCTCCAGTTTCCCCTAAAAATAGAAAGATGCTCTATAACACAATTCATATCACGTTATTCTACTGTCCTCAGAATACACTCACAGGGGGGCGCCTGGATGGCTCAGTTGTTAAGCGTCTGCCTTCAACTCAGGTCAAGATCCCAGGGTCCTGGGATCCAGCCAGGCATCCGGCTCCCTGCTCCACAGAAGCCTGTTTCTCCCTCTCCCACTCCCCCTCCTTCTGTTCCCTCTCTCGCTGTCTCTCTGTCAAATAAATAAATAAAATCTTAAAAAAAAAAAAAAAAAGAATTCACTCACAATTTCCTAGCATGGTCTGCCTACAAAGCTTGCACATTTTGGCTCCATCTTGCACAGAACGACTCTTCTGACTTCAGCCCTCTTCCTCTTCTATAATCCATGATCCCTGTTTCCTATGGGCCTTTTCTAATGTTCCTTTCTTGCACATTCTCCCCCAATCTTCCCTGCATCTTTTGTACATAAAAGAGAAATCTGTTCGGAATTTCACCTCCTTCGGGAAGTCTTCCTGGGTTGATACATGTTAATTGATTTGAGTTTTTTAAAAAATCAACTGTTATTGAATTGAATTGATTGGAAGTAATAATGAATTGAGACAGATAAATTAATCCAAAAAGAGGAACAAGAAAGTGGCTAGAGCTAACATGTTTGCAACTTCAGTGCTGAAATCTCTGACAGATTTGGGTGATTTTCTGAAGCAGAAGATTGTTGGAAGTTTCCAAATGCCTCAACAGAAGGTACTGGACCTAGATGGAGGATTGTTTCAGAATATGTACGCCAAAAACCTCCTTCCCAAAGATCCTGATGGGGCTGTTATGAATAGTTTTTTTTTTTTTAATTCCCCATGTGATTCTGAAAGGCACTCAATGGTGACCCTCTGGTTTAAATCATTGCAAAATGCTAGAATGTCATGATTCATACTGGGGAATCTCATGCTTTGAGTAAAACATGACTTGCCCCAAATGATATGCCTAATAATTCAGCTTTAATTATCCAATCTATAGAATTGATAGAATTCTGAACTTGGGCTAAATGTCAGTCTTCTTTCCTAACTTCTCCGCTTGAGAGATTAAATTGATGCTAAAGAAAACTAATTCTAGGGGCACCTGGATGGCTCAGTCGTTAAGCGTCTGCCTTTGGGTCAGGTCATGATCCCAGGGTACTGGAATCAAGTCCTACAGCAGGGTCCCTGCTCACCGGGAAGCCTGCTTTTCTCTCTCCCACTCCCCTTGCTTGTGTTCCCTCTCTTGCTGGGTCTCTGCCAAATAAATTTTTTTAAAAACTTAAGAAAAATGGTTCTAAGCCTTGCTGGTTGAAGTGGAAGTTTTCTATTCTATGTGAGGTTTTTAATCTACATGATCACACAGCCCAATCAAATGAAGTTTATGCATTCACTCAACTATTTACTGAGCTTGCTAATGTGTCAGTCTCTGAGAGGTACTGGGGATACAGTGTTAAATTATTCCTTCCCTTATGGAGCTGGTGACAAATACAGATACTAAATCAAATAACAAGTTAATTAAAAAAATAAGCTGTAATTGCTTCAAGAAAAAGAGAGGTGCCTGGGTGGCTCAGTCATTAAGCGTCTGCCTTCGGCTCAGGTCATGATCTCAGGGTCCTGGGATGGAGCTCCGCACAGGCCTCCTTGTTCAGCAGGAAGCCTGCTTCTCCCTCTCCCACTCCCGCTGCTTCTGTTCCCTCTCTCGCTGTGTCTCTCTCTGTCAAATAAATAAATAAAATCTTAAAAAAAAAAAAAAACTGTAAGGGAAAAAGGGCGGGGGGGGAGGGAAGGGGGGGAAAGAACCCAGTTGTAGGAATTTCACCTTGTTGGGGATAGGGAGGGAAAGGCTCCTCTGAGGTGCAGATCTAAGATCTGAAAGTTAGATAGAAACTAGCCAGGAAGAATGCTGTGGAGAGTTTTCTAGGTGAGGAAACAGTGTGTGCAAAAATCTTGAAGATTACACCAGAAAGATCCATCTCATTCATTCCCTCTGAATATATTTGGTGCACAGTAAATGCTTCTAAAGCGCTACACAGAATTTACTTTCTCCCTGTTGTTCACCTAAAAAAGACACTTATAGTTTTAATACTTATAATATTCAGCTGATGCCCAATCATTATAAACTAAACACTTTTCCTCCTCTAAACCGCAATTTCAGGTTGTCACCCATCAGCCTACGTAAAACGTTTCGTCATGACGTAGGAGCCCGGCCCTCCCTCCTCCTGCCGACCTATCCCACGCGCCTAGCCAATCACAGTGTTGAACTCTCAGCTTGACATCTTCTGCCTCCAATCGCAGGGCACCTCCTCCCCGCCAATGACCGGCGGCCGAGAGGAAGCCCCGGTCCTCCGCGGGAATATCAATAGGGGAGCCATGGGAGGAATGGAAGCCTCGGCTCTCGCGAGGATGCTCCCGGCGCTCCCTTCTTCCCGAGGCGGGTTGTCACGTGACGCTGTCTCGCCCAATCACCGTGCGGGCTGCGGGGGTCGCCGCGGTTCCCGCCAAATACGAGCTCGGCGGCCGCGGCAGCAGCGGCGCGGGCGGGAGGGCGAGCGGCAGTGGCCGCCTGAGCAGAGCCCGCGCCTCCGCCGCCTGAGGAGAGCTCGAGCCGCCGCCGGGGCGATGCTGGAGGAGTTGGAGTGCGGGGCGCCCGGCGCCAGGGGAGCGGCCGCAGGTCAGTTCGGTCCCGCGCTGAGGGGAAGGGGGGGCGCGGCGCGCGGCCTGCGCAGGCGGAGGCGGCAGTTGGGGGCGGACGGGCCTCCCGGCCCCAGGCCCGCTCCTCTTCGGCGGGTGTTCGGTCGGGGCGGCTGTTACAGCCGAAGCCTGAGCTCTGCGACCCGAAGGGCGCCCTCCTTGACGTTATTGTTGCGGCCGCGACCATTTTCCCCGGCGCTTTTGCGTCAGTTCGTCCTTGCTGGGCTCTCTACGGTGACGGGTCGGTGTGGCCCGGAGGGGAGACCGAGGCCCAGGGAGGTGGAGGGGCTGGCTTTGCAGGGTGCCGAGTGCGTTTGTGTCCCCTGAGCAAGCTGGACCGTGTGGGGAAACTGAGGCCCGGGGGCCCACGGGCTCGGGGACCAGAACAGCTGCGTCTGCCGGTCGGGCAAGCCCAGATAAGAGGCCCGGATGGTGGGCTCGTCCGGGAGCTGGGGCTCCCGGGTTCTTGATCCTGCCCTCTATGCAAGGTGAAGATCTGTCTTCCCCTCCCCCACCGCACCTTGGGAGGGGGCTTTCCTGCACCTGGCGGGGCCTGGGAAACGTGGGATGGTGAGCCGAGGAGGGCCAGACTGCCTGTCTACTTTGCTTGACTCCCATTTTGTGCCTAGCGCCGGCGCAACAATTGGCGCATAGTAAGTGCCTGATAAACAACCTGTCCCTTGAGTTGAGGGCTGACGGGGAGGTCCACTAGTCTGCTCCAGGGCTTCCCAGCCTGGGCACTGTTGACACTGGGGCTGTCCCTTGCATTGTAGGGTTGAGCATCGTCCCTGGCCTCCACCCGTTAGATCCCAGTAGCATCCCCTTTTTCCTACTTGTGACGACCAACAAAGGTATCCGAGCAGTGCCAAGAGGCGGCAGGATGGAGGAGGGGGTGGGACACAGAATCACCCCCTAGTTGAGAAGCACCGCTCCTTGGAAATTTCACGGAGACCTAAAATTCATATCAATAAAGTTGGGACCGATCGTCTTGAGCGGTCATTTGATACAGTAAGAATGTTTAATTTAAGAATTTAAAAAAACCACCTCACTGTGACCCTCCTACCATAAGAGGAAGGGGTTTTTTAAGGCTCAGTAAAATAGGAGCCATGTAATCTCAGAAGAAAGAGCCTTGGTAACTTTAGACACAAGTGTGTGTGGGTTGTATGTGTGCCTTTGAATGGTTCACATCCCTGGGTGGGCTACTCTTTCATGCTTCTGGGCCTAGGTCACTTTTGTTCCCCTCACATCAAAGCTGGCGGGCCACACAGGTGAATCCTTGTGGTTGTCCTAAAAATAAATTTACGTGGGTAAAGATTATGTATACTTCAGAAAAGGGGGGGAAATCCTGTCTTTGGTTAAAGAGGACCTGGGAATGATACTGTCTTGAAATGGGAAGAAAGGAGATGTGAATCCTGGGGGTCCTTGTATTCCAAGCCTGGGGCTTAGGCGAGAGCAGTTTCATCTCTGGACAGCTGAGTTTTTCAGAAACCTAGATCTGCTTTTTGAAAATACTCACTTGTGTGTATCTCTTACAAAACATATGTAGATGGCACCAAATAACTAACCTAGATTTTTTCAAGCCAGATCTAGCAGGTGCCAGCTTCTAAACTTACTCTAACCAATTTAAGGATATTTTCCCAAAGACTTAGCTCTATTTACAGTCATTTTTGTCTCAGCTTTGATATTATTAGATGCTTTTTTTGACATTTTTTTCATGCAGGAAAATACTCTCCCTTATTTCTTAATAGCACGTCAGGTCCACCCTGGCAAGCTCAACATGCTTTAAATTGTTTTACCTGTACG